CCAATATTAAATGATGGAGGGGCTGTGGAGCAAAAGAAACCCTTCTTCACTGCTGATTAGACTGGTACAACCACTATGGAAATCAATGTGAAGATTTCTCAGAAAACTAGAATTGGAGGTCCTGTTCAATCCAACCATTCCTCTCTTGTGTATTTTTCCAGAAGAAATGAAAACCTCGTACTACAGCAATATATGTGCACCTACATTTATAGCAGTGTAATTTGTCATAGCTAAATCCTGGAAACAACCCAGGTGTCCATCAACTGAAGAATGGATAAAGAAGATGTGGTATTTTTACACAATGGAGTATGATTCAGCTATAAAACAGGATAAATTCGAATCTTTTGTTGGTAAATGGATGCAATCAGAGAACATACCCTTAAGTGAAATAAATCAGACCCACATGTGCAAACATCATATTGTCTCCTTAATGTGAGAACCTAAAGAGAAATTGCAATCTGAAGGGTACAATATATACTGTGAAAAGGAAATGAACATGTTCCAAAGGAAGGAAATACTGAGTTGAGGAGGACAAGGAAGAGAGTGCAGGAAAGAGATATGCTTATGTGTGTAAGCAGGATGATTTGGACAAACAGCAGGGAAGGAACTGTGACCTGGAAATTCTGACTCCCACAGTAGAAAAGGGAAAAATTACATCGTGATCTCAAGAAAACGCTTTCTGGGAAGTGGCAGAACCTAAAAGAGGCCGGTATGTGTGCAGCAGTGGCATGGCCTGCAGCCCCACTTTGCCCAGGGCTTTCCTGGTCCATGTTTTCTTAGACCTAAAGCTGCCTGGCTTAGCATCCAGGACCATAGCAGTGGGTCGCATGTCCTGGGAAGTGGCACTGCGTCTGCCCACCGCGAGTTACAGGTCTCAGGCCTTTAACGGTGAATCTGACACACTTCCAGCTGCCTGTGTGGGGTTCAGAGATGCGTCCTCGTGGAAAGCATAAAAGCCGTGGTCTCCACAGGCGCCTCTGTGAGGGGTGTAGGCAGAGCTCTGCCGGAGCCGAGGCCTGGAGGCTGGGGCATCAGCGAAGGATTCTGGCGTGCTGCGGGGCCGAGGGACTGCCAGCTCTGGCTACTGTGAGTAATTCCTCATGTTCTGATTATATTTTTGCCCAACGGGAAATTGCCTGTGAAATGTGAGCTTCCGCATGAGCACGCTGACAGCTGCAGAACCGGATTTCCGTTTGGACGCCGTGTCTCTGAGAAGGCGCAGTCTCAGGCGGAGCTCAGCTCTGGGAGGTCGGAGCTCCCGCACCTGGCTGTGCGCTGGAGGGCTGAACATCACTGCAAAGCAGCAGCGAAGCTGACGGCAAGAGCACAGCAGGCACAGAACAGCAGAGAGGAAAGCGTTCTCGTGAGGAGGCTGCATTAATTCCTCTCCTAGTGTGTTCTCTGAGTCTCTCCATTTGGTTAATATCAAATGGTGTTTGTAGCTCTCAATGTCCTAGAAATGATGTGGCAAGTATGTTTGTTATCCTACTTTGACCACTGCCGTCTGTGTAGATAAAACAGCACCTGATCTTCCACAAGTGTGTAGAATGACATATCAGTTTCTAGAAAAAAGAACAAAATTGAGCTTTGTGCATACATGCATTTTTCTGTTTTTACACTTATTTTAATGAGGTACCATTTATGAAAATTTTGTAGTGGAAAAAAGTATATA